TAAATGGGAACCATCTCCTGATAAGATGTTCTAAGAACTTGATATTATGTAGCACTCCATGGTTGGAAGCAATTCCCAAAAGATGAGGAGAAGAGAGAACCCGCTGCAGTACTAAGTTTATTGGTCATCACTAGAGTTTCCATGACCTGACTTATATGAGTCCTTAATCAATTATTTTCCTGCTTGAAGAGATTTCTGACCACGGGCCAAAGCTCGCATGTATATCACTCAGAGCTATTTCATAACTGATCTCTGAACATGTGGAGCAAGAAATCAAGTTGAACCTCCTAGGAGAGCACCATGTCTGAACAAGAATCCCCAATCTCCGAGTATCTGTTATGGATGCATGAATATGCATGGAGTGCATAAATAGATGCTATGTCATGTTCCTTCATTCCCAAGGAATTTACGTGCTTTGGTTTTGATTTTACGCAAATAAGGATGACAAAGTTTCAACACAAGGCTTGCAAATATGATTCCTCGGAAATAATAGAACGTGTATGTTAAGCATGTGGTTAACCATGTTATGTATGCAAAGACATGGGATCAAAGTTTAGTTATTACATCACTTCTGAATATGATTGCTGCATTGCTTCTGAACCATACGAGTATCATCAAGTCAAAGTTTGTCATAGCTTCCGCACATATAAGAACCAAGTACCATGTAGATCTCCCCTTGTACGGGGTCGAGGCTTCTGGAACATCGGATATTGTTGAGCATTTTCTGAATATGCTGGGAATGCCAAGATCGAAGGCCTGAATGAACCTCCAAGTATACAAATCAGGAACTCAGAAAATAAATCAGAACCATATAGTCACCAACAGAATATAGCATATGAATAAGTCACCAACAGAAATCCAGAACATAACCATTAGAACCAATAGTCACTGTCTGATCATAGTCTCCATCTGAGCATGATTAACCATTTGAACATAGTCACCAACTGTACCTGTAATAATAATTCCCTCCCCACTCACGGGTGAAGACTAGGTCAGGGTAAGACAATGGTAACTCGAAAATCATGGGTTCACTTAAAAGTAAAATCATCGTGACACAGACGTGCATGATGAAAGTACCTCCAATTGAACCTCATTCGAGCATGGTATATGACATAACTGCACTAATCGGACCACGTCCTATACCCGTCATTCTCCCACTCTATTCCTAGTGTCCTAGTGCACTCTGGCCTGGGTACTGGGCCTTTTACCTCAATAGTAACAGCCCCACCCAACATGGAAAACCAGAATCCAGCATAATAGATAGCAGATAGGGAAAGCAATAAAATGAAATGCAAACTTATGCTCAGATAAACATGTACAAATGAGTAAACTGAAAGCATAAAAATAAACACCCAAAGAAAAGAAAACAAGAGATAGGAGCGACTCCGAGATGGACCAGCATTTGGTCGACCTTTCCCCAGTGAATTCGCCAGCTGAAACAACCGGCTGAAAATCATCAAACAATGAAGTCGCCATCGAACGTATTTTATCCCACATGTAGGGAAAGGTAAACATCGAGAAAACCTGAGAAGGGAGAAGTCACGGTCTTGTGACCGAGAGATAAGGGTAAGGGAGTCTGTTACGCGAGGGGAAGGTATTAGCACCCCACACGCCCGTAGTACTCTACGGTATCCATTCTTGTTGTCTATCTTATGGGTGTGTTTAATCTATGCTTATTGTTTATTATACTAATGAAGGGAGTATGCATGCGAAAGAAACTAGAAAAGAATGTAGGGAAAATAAAATTTGTTCTCGTTCGGGTCCTACCCCAATGCCTACGTATCCCTTTTAAGGAATCAGAGCAGTCGTAGTTCGACTTATATGTTTTTGTTGGTTTGTATTTTTTTAATGAACAATATTAATTTTGCCTTCTGTTGCAACTCGACCTTTGGAGACTTAGGCGTCAGCACAGAAGTGAATTAAGATGCTCTTTCTGAAAAGGGTTTGAAAGAAAGTCCCGAAGGCAAAAAGAGTTTGTATTGGTTGGTGTTTTTGCTTGTAGATAATAGCTAGTTAATCTCAAGAGAGAGATATTAGTCATTTCTCTACTTATTCATGAAATGATTCTTTGAGACTTGAACCATGCCAAAGCTTATAATAAGAGAACAATAAGGTCGAGAAGAAACCCGCTTATCGTCTCATATACTTAACGAAGATATGATTCTCGTCAGTAAATTTTTAGTATTTTGAAGTTTGAAAGAAAAGAAGTTTTTGTTTTAAATGCATATGCAAAAAGAGAAATAAAAGTCAAAGAGGAGACTAGTCTATTTATAAACCTAATGTTATCATGCGTCATTAGACCTAAGTCAAGGATGAATGAAAGGAAAATGTCTACCTAATGTTAGCATGCATCGTTTGCGGTAAAGCCCCTACTTCTCATGATTTCTAGACAGCATTGAAGTGCGTGAATGAGGAATAAAATAAAGTCACTATGGTATCAAACGGAGAAGGTCAGTTGCCTCTTTAAAGCCACACAAGCGACAAGAAAACTCTACAGAAGCTGCTCCGCGCGAGTGATCAAATGATTAGTCTCCAAGCATTCCTAATTGCAAAAGTTACAAAATCTTGGCTAAAAATGGCAACGAAAATGATTATCGAACATGAAAAGAAATATTAGAAAACTCTAATTGAAATCCTAAATATAAATACTAAAATATTCTAAAATATTCTAATATTTTTGTATCATTTTTATTATCAATTAAGAGAAAAAATTAAACTAGAAGAAAAAACTAAAATCTCAACGAGATTAGAAAAGTCTGGGGGGTGTTGAGTTGGATCAGGGAGTTTAGTAAAGGAAATCAAGTACTAGGCCCAACAAAAGTCCATGAAGCTGTTTTTTTGCGTGTGATCCAACAATTACCAGAAATTGTTCCAAAAAAGCTTGTTATAGGGTCTACTGCTTCGGTACAAGCCCGTTAAAAATGGTAGTACAATAACACATTCACAAATCTTTATTAACCATCCTATTGTTAATTGATTTACAAAACAAAATTATTAAAAATAAATTAAAAGTAGATTTGAAAGAGGGGAACGAATACGCTGCCATTTAGTCCAAAGGGTAGGGTTCCAGCAATTGAGACGGTTCAACTTCTTCTTCCTCTTTCGTGAATCCATTCACAGCGGCTCCATCATCTCACCTCCACCACCGTCTCTCTTCATTTGATGTGATTCCACTCAGAACCTCCATCTCGAATCCCCTTCTCTGGCGAACTCTACTCTCTTTATGCCATCATCATCATCGCCAATCCTCTCTGGTGATCTCTATCGCCTTTGTGTCACGTTTTTCAGTTCAAACAAACCTACCGCAGCACTGTGATTAATCTCGAACGAGGATGACTGGTTTATGAGCATGCATCGAAGTCGTGAATCCCTCACATTTCGCTCCCTTGATTCATCCGTTCAGAGCTCAACGCCACCGTCTCAAACTCACTCTCTTCTCACCTCCATCGGGTTCAATCTCTATCTCTTCCTCCAATGACCATCGTTACCACACCGCGACTGCCTTCGTCTCAAATCGATTCGTGATTCGAACTCAGGTGAGCACCAGAACTTTCTTGTTCGTTCTTCATCTTTCTTCTACTTCTGTGTTCTTTCAGTTTTGTGATGATGTGCTACAACGTGACGATGTGGTTAATGTCGTAGAGCGCGTTGCATGTTGAAGTTGTTCTTGCACATTTGAAGATTGGATGATGGTTTGAGGTTGCAGAATCTTGATGATGCTGCACGAAATTGTTGTTGTGTTGAAGGTTGCAGAAGTTTGTTACCGGGAGAGACGAAGAATTCGTTATGGTTGTTGCAGAAAAGCTCGTGATGGTGATGCTACTTGAAGGTTGAGGAATGATGATGAAGAAGGTTGAAATTGCAGAGAATTTGGTGAGTTTGTTTTTTTTTCTTTTCTTCTGTCATCCCTTTTTTCTTTGTGAACGAATCATGAATTTTTTCCCTCTCTGCATCTGTAAATTCTGAGTTTTTGAATAATGATGTGTGTGTGTGTGATTGTGAATTGAGGTGATGAAGAAGGTGTCGCGGAAGGTGAAGAATATAATGTTGACGATTGAAGATTATGCAAAGAAGTATTGATGGAGATTACAAAAGCTTCAAGAAGATGGAAGAGAATTGAAGAGTGAAATTGCGGTGATGGCTCCCTTTTAATGGTAAAATCTATTTTTCTGTTATAAATGATAGATGAATTCTGAATTATGATTTTTTTTGTGAAAAATGAATCCTCTCTTCCTCCCCGCTCTGAATTTTGTTATATTCTGGTCCATCCTTTTTCCATCTTATTTTCTGTTATATCCCCGCTGGGAGTTTGTTAGAGGCAGTTAGGGGTTATAGAGTTAGTTAACAGTTAGTTCTGTTAGCATTCTGTTATGGGTTAGAGTTTTCTATTATGACAGTTGGTGAGGATTGGTTAGAAAACAATTAGTAGGTTACTAGAATGGTTAGAGGTTAGGAACTAATTAGTTGGTTGTTATGACAGTTGGTTAGAATTCTGTTTGGAATCTGGTTTTGGCAGTTAAAAGTTAGTTAGGAATTCTATGATATTCTGCCATGGGTTAATTAACTGTCAGTTGGTTTTTTTTATAGTCAGTTAAGACTTGGTTTGGAGTTATTTAGGAACTCTGTTGGAGGTAGTTAATTAGTTATGTTGTGGGGATGTGGTTAAATGTTTTATGGGCTGATCTAGTAATGCAGGGACATTGTTTTTCTGGTAATGCAGGGCTGTAACGCAGGAACAAGGGTAGCACATGGACGCAATTTTTGGTTTTGACATGAAGTCCAACATTTGGTTATTGTGGATGCAGGTGATATTGGCAACTAGCGGTACAGGTCGGTCCAGGTTATTCTATTTAGGAAACTGTTAGCTTTTCTATTTTGATCACTGATGGATGCAGGTATTTTTGCAGGCAGGTTGGTCTGAAGTTGTTAAGATATTGGTTGGAGTTGGTATTTTGGTTTAAATCTAACTTCTGTGATTGATTCTTTTATGTGTGTCTTGATTAGTAACAGAAATACCAATTTCTATGTAGCAAATGAAAGGCTTCTTCGCATACCCTCCACTTGCTGCAATGTTTCCATCTGATGAAATATCGCAGGACAAAAGTTTCACCAAGAGATCCATCTTGAAATACTTCAGAATCTTCAATAAGTTTGATTGCTCTTTTCCGTTTTCCAGACCCAGTAAATGTATTCACAAGTGCATTCACCAAATTTTGTTTCATAGATTCGTCACCAAGGTCATACACAATACTCATGCCTTTAGAAGCCAACTCTTGTGTGAGTTCATTTTCTTCACCAAGAAGGTGAGAGAAAGCCTCCTGAATTTCTGGAAGCATTTTCTGAATAATAGGATGACTGCCGCAGTACTTTGTAAGTGATACTAGCCAGACAGTTCCAGCACATCGCTCTTCTTTCCTGCTACTATACAAAAGCACATAAAAAAGCTTTTTGATAATTGCGTCTCTTGCAGAAGCATGGTATTCTTCACTTTGTCCATTACGGAACTGCTTTGACTCAGAAGAGTTTAAATCTCCCATCAGAAAATTTGAAGCAGTCGATAGTGAAGTGAAGTTAGTATTGATAAAGTTTAGTTAGAACTAGGATCTGTTTAGTGAAATTGACTGTTAATTTGGGATTTAGGTTATGACTGGTTTTTGTTGATGTTAATTATGTGCTAATTGTTCCAAAGCTAAATTTAATTTTCCTTTCAATTGCAGTTAGTTGAATGATGTGGACCTATTCTCTGCCAAAGTTAAGGTATGCAGGCTGTTCAGTGTATGTGTTTAGCATTTGGTTTGAATTAGTTAATGGTTTTTCATGTATCGAGTAATTTGTATGAACATAGGATACTTTGGCACAATTGCTTGTATTGACTTGGATTTTTTGTATGAATGTGCAGGCAATGAACTTGGAATGAAGAGAATTGCAACGTGAAGAGCATGAAGTTGAAAGATTAGTCATGATGATGGAAGCTTGGAGATTATTATTATGGCATGAAATTTTTGGAGGCATGGGGACACATTAGAGATTAGATGTAAATGGCTTGATGTAATCTTCTTGATATTTGTGATGTACTTGAAATGATAATGTAAACAGTGACCTTTTATGTAATGATATCCTCTTTAATTATTTCTCTTCTTTCAATTTAGAATTCACATCCTCAAACCTCATTGATTTTTTCCTTTTGCTCTTGAATTTCTACTTAAAATTCTGTCTTAAAAATGCTTGAAAACCTTGAATGATATTGCATTATGGTCACTTGAACGGTGAATGAAATTTGGATTTGTGATCTTGAAATTTTAAATAGCCTTGAATAATTCTTGAACGCCCTTATGCATGCATAAACTTGATACTTGCTCTAAATTCCAAATAACTTATTTTTCCAGAAATCCACATGAATCCTTTTCTAACCTCGCATGCTTGGTAAATGAAATTTAATCCAATTCTTGAACAAAACTTGAATTCACATGATATTTCTCTTGAAATAATCTAAAGCAAACTCCGTGACCAAAATTCCACCTTCCTGAATGAACCCCCAAGTAAATGACTTATATCATAAGCCATGAAGCGATTCCAATCTCCAATTGGTGACTATGAAGCAAATGTCCCCTAACATCACCCTATGTACTTTGTGAGAGAATGTATCCAACACGTTGAACCCCATCAACCTTGTATAACAAATAATAAGAGAACCAAACCTCCTTGGTCTTAATGAATTTACAATGCCATCCTTATATCACGCCTCATTATCTCCTGAACCTCCATTGGAGATGTTGATAAACCTAAGAATGATAAGATATAAATCATAAACTTCCACAAAAAGCTTATAGATTTTGATCTTCAAAGCGTTGAAATGAAATCTGAATCAACATAGATTGTATCGCAAGTAAGCCAATCGACCAGATGAAGAGTTGTGCATTATAAGGCATACGAACCCTGATTCGTGAAGAAGGTCCAACTGAATCTTCTTTTCTATAATAGAGTTGTTGCCCACATGAATAGAGATTAAAGCAATGATTTCCTTCTAATTTTTCAAAGATATGTCAATTGAAACCCTGATTATTCATGGACGATATCCCCTGATGATAGCCTTTCCTGATAATCACAACTTCCCAGAGAAAACTCTCTTGAATGGTACATGATTTAAAGAAATAAACCCTAATCAAAGGATGACGTTGAGCACGAGGAAATAATGAATGCCTGATTTAGTAGCCCTTTAGATGACCTCGTAGAATAACTTGAAAATGAACATGGGGATAATGAGAAGAATATGACCAAGCTGGCCATGACTTAGAAAACCTAATGAACCTCGATTGATGAAATGCTGTCAAGCACAAACTTGGTGGAGAAACACTCTGACTCTTGTCTTGAATGAGTAATAACCCTCTTAACTTGAAGAGAACAGAACCCTCCATAAGCATAGGTTGAAATCCTAATTCCACACTTCATTGCTTGAAGGATAATCAGAAGAATCATGCCTTATTGGATACGAACACCTTATCCGTTGCGAAACCCTAATATCGCACAGCTAATGAACTTTGAACCTCAAGCGCCTTGCTGAATGCAAATGTATGTTAATGACCTAATGGAATATATACAGATGAATGCAAGAGTCTAAGCCAGACAGAAGAAATTAGGAGGGAAAATTTTGGGGTGCAACAAGTACCTGTTCTTGATCAGACACCCTTCACCGTTTTAGAGGAAGCTTCGAAACCAGAAGATATTGCAGAAGCTTTACATCTGAAGCGGTCTGACATTATATCCAATTGGGAAACAAGAAGTGGAGTAAAAGGTTTTTTGGCAAAATTTATGATAGAGAAGGCTCGACTGTTTCTGGATGATATGAGTTTTCAGCCTTTCAAGGAGATATTGGCTCTGCTAATCTATGGATTGGTATTGTTCCCTAATCCAGATCAACTCTTAGTTGTGAACGCCATCAAGATATTTCTTGCTCGTAATCATGTACCTACCTTGCTCGGAGACATTTTGCAGCCTCTTCACACTCGTACTATGAAGAGGCGGGGAACTCTCATGTGTTGTATACCTCTGCTATCCAGGTGGTTTATTTTGCACCTTCCCCGCTTGGTGATTGTTGTACCCCAAAATTTTCCCTCTCATGTTTTCCAAAGTCTTCCCCCTACATGGTTGATCACAAACCCTTGCCTAAGGAAAAAGAAAATTTTTGAGTGGTGCTTTAAGTACCTTTCAATTGGCATGGACAAACACTTCGATTGGCATTATGGACAAACACTTCAATTGGGCATTTGGCACTCTTCGATCAGGCTCTGATTAGTAAGCTTCGATTAGGTGTTTGGAACCCTTCGATCAAGCTTTGGTCTGCAAGCCTTTGATTGAGTGCTGGACCTCCTTCGATCAAGCTTTGGTGTGCAAGCCTTCGATTGAGCGTTGGACCTCCTTCGATCAAGCTTTGGTGTGCAAGTCTTTGATTGAGCGTTGGACCCCTTCGATCAAGTCAATTTCACAATGCTTCGACTAGTACTTCAGAGGGTCCTTCGACTGGAACTTCATACTTTACCTCAATCAGAACATCAGAACGAAATGACCTTCGAATGGCATTTCAGTGCAGGGTTTCTTTTAATCTAAGATGCTCTGATGAAGGAAGTTCTGAACACTTCGAATCAGAACTTAGACTCATCACAAGGCCAAGGGCTGGTCGAAGTTATCTAATGGGGAATGTTCTAAATAGATTCGAATTGTACTTAGAAGCTGGCAAAGAAGGCAGATTCGAAGAAAGGAAGTAGGCTGGCATGACTAAGCAAAAACACATATCCTAACCTATCCAGGTACACCCAAAGTTCACAATGGCATGTGTACCTTGCAAATATGGAAATAATTAAATGCTGATTGTGGACTCAATTATTTGAATAAAAGGCCAGATTCTTGCCTTATTTGCTCCTAACCCTATAAGAGCTGATTCAACCAGGGTGATCCTGTTCGAATCAAGCAATCGAAGTAGAGGAAGGCTCAATCGAAGAGAGCAGGTTCGAAGGGAAGTGGATCTGAAGGGAATCAACTGTTGATTTCCATCAAGTTGGAGGCCCAAAACAACTCAGAGCAAGCTTGCAGAAACGCATGATTGGATCAAATATGGCAAGTCTTTATGAAAAAATCAAATCAAATCTCTTCATCATAATGGACCAAGATTTGATACACAAATGTTGACCTAAAATCCTTTGTCCATATAAACCTCAAGCCTCATAAAACTCTGCACACGTGAAGAACACATACACAAACTCTGCAGAAACGGCGCCACAACCTTGAGAAAAAAAAGCTTGAAAAGTGAGAGATCAAAAACAACCTTGGAGGCGAATTCAGACCAAAAGCAAAACGTAGCTCTCCTCCTTGACATCTAGTGGAGCTATACCAATCAACACCAGGTCTTTTCATTGCCTAGAAATCCCTGTAAGTATCTACGAATCTTGCTCTGGACATGATATCGTGAAATCATTTTCTTGCATCCTTTCATTGAAATAATTACATATTCATGCTTTGCGTTGCATTTTGAAACTGAATATTATTTTCATAGCATGTAACTCCATGCCCAGTTCTAGGGTTCGTATACCTTGTTTTTGGGGTTTTTAATTGTAGGAAAAATCAATGCACATAATTGGTACAGGGATGACTAGGGGAAAGAGACGAGTACGTTGGTACTCTTGGATTTCATTTACATGGCCTGGAGAGGTTTTTTGAGATACCCGACGAAACTTCCCGCGGATAAAAATCTGCAGGTAAAAAACCAGGGTCGTTTGAAGAAGACGATGACGTGTCCTTGTGCTATTGGTCCATTCAAACCATTAGCACGTTTGTTTTATTTGCAGGCTTAGCGTTTTGTTTGTTTATATAATATTTGTTTCTTAATTCAATAACAGTAATGCAGTGTAGTTGGATTGGTGAAGCGTGCGTTGCAGAACCCCCTGGGACCTGGATTCGAATCCCAGGTCCCCCAAAACTTTGTTACATTTTTTCTCCAGGTACTCAGATGCAGCGCTTCAGGCAGGGAGCATCATATACCTCCAGATCTCATGCGCCAGGTGGTTCCAGATTCAGATTCAGTGGTCCAGGATGAGGTTCACCATGAACCTTGATCAACAAACGCCCAGGCAATCTGAAAGTCCAACAGGCTGGACGTTTGGGCCTGGAAGTTGCAATTCATACTCCCTTTTCGAGCCCAGCACCCCTGAGTTTGTTTCTTTATTTTTCTTTTCACTCTTTTTATTTTATTATCATAATTAATTAATTAACTAATTAACTCTTTTTCATAAAAAAAAATCAGAAACAACAAAAATATTTTTATTTTTATTTTATTACTTATTTTTGTAAATAAATTGTAATCAATTAATTTAGTTTAATTAGGTTTAATTTTAACATATTTTGCATTAAATTAAAATTTATTTAGAATTAGGATTTCATTAACTTTATAATCACTCCTATTTTACTGCCTTAATTAAAATAAAAACTCAAAAATATTTTCTTTAATTCCATTATTAATTTAGACTTGATTCTTAATTCAAAAAAG